AGTTTTGTTTGAATAAAAGATCAACGGTACGATAGTGACCTGTCTAAATGTTGCTCTTTCTTTGTACTTGCTGATATGATGAAAGGTTCATTATTCTTTATTCATATTTCATACAGATACCTATTGTTTGGAGAAATATTTTGAGTTCGTCACGCATCATGAGTATGAGAACATTGACAGAGTAGAGAAGAGATTGTTTTAACTCTTTTTGTCCCTTTAGTAAACGTACGCATTTACCCGTATAGTAAGGTTCTTCTTATGAGGTCGGCGAATATACTTGAGGATAGGTAAACATATCATCGACTAATCGCAAAAGGCTGGCGATTTTGATGACATGGGTAGTGAACGTTTTTTCTGGGGACGTGATTCTTTCTCGATCAATGCATTTTCGAGAGTCGCGCTGCGTTTTTGTTTAACGCGGGTTTTCGAACGGGATATATTCTACATCGTAGAGTGTCATGCGCTGACTACGGTAATAACTTTGTTTTTCCTAACGGCGCTTTGTTGCTGAGATATTGAATTTTTACTCGAATTTTCCCCATGGGATCGGGATTTGAAGCAAAAACGGAGTTTTTGAATTTAATGTTGTAACGTATCACATATTGTAGCCCAGACAAATTGTAGTACGAGGAAAAAAGGTCGACCTGAAAACCTTTTCCTGCAGCGGTGGAAGAACTTTTCCATATGGATACCAAAAGTAAAACAAGGAGCAAGTTTTGAAAAAGTTCTTTTACCGCTAGAGAAAGAGGTTTTCAGCTCTGCCTGTTTTCATCGGACTACAATTTGTCTGGGCTGCAATATGTGATACGTTACAACATGAAATTCAAAACTCCGTTTTTGCTTGAAATCCAGATCCCACGGGGAAAATTCGAGTAAAAATTCAATATCTCAGCAACAAAGCTCCGTTAGGAAAAAACAAAGTTATTACAATAGTCGGCGCATGACACTCTACGATGTAGAATATATCCTGTTCGAAAACCCGCGTTACACTTGGATACCTTCCCTCATGAGTTGCAGGTCTTTATAGTTGCGTAAACAAGATCGACCATTTTAGACTCAAGTTCGAGTTCAAGTTTGTCCGTAAATACTACAAGTTGCGACTTACGAGGGAAGGCCACCAACTGCCTCCTCGCTATTGAGCTTAAACTCAGGTGGCAATAGGTAATCGAACGTGCTGATTCCGAATATCACAATGGTTTTTGCCCGCTTTCGATTTAAAGACCCGTTTTTTAAAGATCTTGGTTTTTTAATCGAAAAACCATTTTCACTAAAAAATTTCCTTGACCTGTCCAAATGAAAGAGCACGTCGTCAAACCTACAGAAAACAATTTTTCAAGATTCTAAGCGAGATTTTGAGCGAGTCTTCTGCGTCTAAAACTTAAAAAAAGAGGGAAAAACCGCTAATATTCTTACACAATTTATAAAAGAAAAACTACTGTTTTTCTTTCTGTTCTGTTTTTTCACAAATGTTATTAGCAGTTTGTGATAAAGGTGGCAATAAAGCAGTTTCACAGAGCCATGAGTCGTAAAAATATTTGTTATTTAAAGAATAAATTATCCATCGTATATATAGACAGCGATTTTCTATGAATAAAGAGACATTTTAAAACTAATGAACATCAACCAATAAGCCTGTAATTGTTATGATCTTCACCTTCGGTTAGATCATATCATCACTTCTGCTATTCTTGTTAAACATGCATATATATACTATTGTGCGTTATTCTCTATGTTCTGGGATTTTCCTTATATATAACTTTCTCTATTCTCTTTCTTTCCTTGCCGTTGAATGATGAGTTTTCTCCGTATTTTGTCTGGGGAATTTCCTTTAACTCGGACAGTACTATATCTAACGCATTGTTCATAAACCTATATATAGTGGCTGATTTTTTATAATAAAGTGTAACTGTATCGGTGATATTCATCTTTCGATATTAAAGGTTTATTCAAAAAGAAATCACAATATAACATTTGTTCACTGACCAACGGACGAGAAAACAAGGCTTACAGTAACATCATTTCGATAGATTTCGTCACTCTTTTCCCGTAAACCAAAATGAATGCGCAGAACCTCGTTTCGGCTTTGAGTGATTTAATTGCAAATAATTCAAGCGTTACACAACAGTCTTCGATTACATCACAGGAGCCACAAATGGCCGAACATCTAGCTGACACTGTTAAATTAATGGCTAGTGGGCAAAAAGTTGATTACGTTGAAGAAACAACTTTAGATTTCGGCCGCTATATCGACGATGAAGAGAGTGAAGAGGAGGAAGAATCCATGCTGGATGAGAAAGAAAGCCTCACCTTTTATAAACTGTATAAGAATATTAGCGGTTTTTCCCTCTTTTTTTAAGTTTTAGACGCAGAAGACTCGCTCAAAATCTCGCTTAGAATCTTGAAAAATTGTTTTCTGTAGGTTTGACGACGTGCTCTTTCATTTGGACAGGTCAAGGAAATTTTTTAGTGAAAATGGTTTTTCGATTAAAAAACCAAGATCTTTAAAAAACGGGTCTTTAAATCGAAAGCGGGCAAAAACCATTGTGATATTCGGAATCAGCACGTTCGATTACCTATTGCCACCTGAGTTTAAGCTCAATAGCGAGGAGGCAGTTGGTGGCCTTCCCCCGTTAGACTTGCCCATCTCTTATAAAACGTATAGCTATCTTTCGGATACCAGGAGGTTTCGGAAGTCGGCTTCGTTACTGAAGTTGCACCACGGCGTGAAACAACTGCACTGAGTTATACATTACGATTTTCCTAAATGTTGCTCGTCTTTTGTTGCTGATATGATGAAAAAGCTTCATTATTCTTTGTTCATATTACATACAAATACCTATTACGTGAAGAAGTATTTTAAGCTCGTTACGCATGACTCTTTCACGCAATGACTGTTCTTCGAGTATGTTAGTCCTTTCTAATCATTTTAGACAAGTACTTTAACGAAAACAAAAGAAAATAAATAATATGACCATATTCGGAGGTGGGCGTGCATCAATACTGATACATATCGCTTAAAGTTGATAGCGGTTAGCATAAGCCACTACTATGTTGTTGGTGGAAAGTCGGAAAGTCGGAAAGTAAGATAGAGAAACACGCTACAGGGCAATAAAGCTTAACTATCGTTGAGCTATAGCTGAGTAGAGTTTTTCTCTAGAAAAAATATAGCACTCATTTTGTCAATGATTGTAGCAGAGATGGGCAAGTCCGCATTTTCGGACTCGAGTCGCATTTTTCTATGACTCGGACTCGAATTCCGACTCGAGGTGAAAGACTCGATAAACTTGATAAATTGACTCGAGTTACTTTCGAGTTAGTTATGTGCAACTTGAGATTGTTATGACGGTGTTTATTATGTAGATAGATATTTTGTATTTGTTCAGGCATTTCAGTTTTTTTTCCTTGTTTAGTCATCGTTTTTGCAAAAAGTGAGTTGTATGATCTAGAGAAGTACGTAACGTAGAGACATTCTAAAAACGGGAGATAGCTCTCTGGGTACTGAATGTGAACCATTTCACGTTCTATTTTTAAGCAACCGTCCAGATTGGGTGGGATGAGTTTCATAAGTGGAAGGAAAATGTGTCTTCGGAAACTTGACTTCGAAGTTTTCATCGTTAATAGTTGTCCAGCGCCATATTTTTTGATTTGTAGACAGAATTGAGAAACTAGATGCCAACTACCCTACAGACAGATTGGAAACCCAACCGAGTGAAACGAAGCTTAGAAACACTTTAGACACTGTTTGAATCCCTTACATACGGTCAGAACATTGCAGTGCTCTACTAGTCAACATATTGATGCATTCTATCGGTAGTAATGTTTCAAACTATACCGAAGCATAGACCGATAAGTAGCACGTGACTACTTAATGAATCACTCTACACTGTTCGTACTGAATGCATATAAAGTATCACGTTAATTATCTCATAGAAAAAGACTTGAAAATATGCTGAACTTTTGAGACTCATTACTTAATAATTAAAACATATATCGAAAAAATAACTTCAGCTGTTTCATCTACCTCTCTTGCACTCTCGAATGATCTTTCTCCCAAATCTGTACGATTAGTGATAGCTGAGAACGAGTGGCTGAATCGAAGTAGAAAGTAGGGTCTAGAAGAAAGAAGAATTTTTTGTGGTGAAACAGAATAAGCCTCTCCGAGTTTCACTCGGTCGGCTTAATGAATCTGTGTGGTTGTTCTGGCGATGGACACTGTGAAAAGTTACTACTTAAACACGTGCCGTAACGTTCGATAGTTGGAAGTGCCCACATTATCTATCACACTCTAAAACAAATTGTGTCGCAGTATGTACGGATGTGTCGCAAACAGCTCTTCATGTCGCAAAAAAATAATATATAGCAGAGTCTAGCGGAAAAATGTGTCGCGAAACTTTCCCGACACATTTTTCCGCTAGACACATTATTTTTTTTGCGACATGAAGAGCTGTTTGCGACACATCCACACATAATGCGACACAATTTCTTTTAGAGTGTTGCGTGTAGCACAATTGCATTCTAGTTATATTTGTTATATATCAGAAGAGAGAGAGAGATTTGAGAATATTCTAAGTAGAGCATTGCGTCACATGAGAGGACTGAGGATCTGCTCTTGAAAAAATGAAACAGGAGGAAGTTTTCCTCTAGAAAATGACTCGAAGTGACTTGAATCAATTTTGATGCGGCTCGGACCTCGACTCACGAGGGAACCGCCCCAGGTGCCCAACTCCGATTTCCTTCATTCATACCTCGTTTTATAGAGCACATCGAGCTGGTAAAAAGCCTAAAAGGATTTTAGCGCATGGCTCTTGAAGTATCGGTTTTCTGCAAAACCAGTTTTTGAGAAATTCTAAAAATAATCAAAACCTTTCATAATGAGGCGTAATTATAGCCCGCACATTTCTGATTAAAATGAGACGTCTCCCAGCTCTACATGACCTTTCTTTACAAAGTTACAGAATTTACAAGAAAAGCCCTAAATGTTCATTGTCAGCTCAAAGCTGTAGAAATAAGAAGAAATTAATTTAGGACTTTTCTTGTAAACTCTATAACTTTGCAAAGAAAGGTCGTGTAGAGCTGGGAGACGTCTCATTTTAATCAGAAATGCGCGGGCTATAATTATGCCTCATTATGAAAGATTTTGATTATTTTTTAGAATTTCTCAAAAACTGGTTTTGCAGAAAACCGATACTTCATGTATCTGTCAGTCTGTTGTCACTTGCCCGATCGGGAAATATTGCTCGAACGAGCAACTTGGCCGATCAGGCGAGACTCTATCTGGGAAACCATAGGTCCTCTAACGCGTGGAAAGTGCTTATTCTTCTTCTCGCACATTGTATATTTATTGTGCATGAAAATTATATGTTCCATCTTTTTCCTTTCTCATGGGAGAAATGAAAAATGAATTTAGCTCAATATCGTTCATTTTATCTTTCCCGATCTGGCAATATTGCTAGTTCGGGCAAGGTCAGTATTGCCGGTTTCGGCAATATATCTTGCCAGATATATTGATTTACATACATTTATTTGTACTTTACGCACATTTATATGCGTACGAAGCCTTACTAGAAGGTTTTTTTTCGTTTCGTTCATTTTCACCGACTTCGGTTTCACCGTCACCAAAAAATTGAGGTGTGTGGAAAACCACTTTCCATATGTTTTTTCAAAAAAGTGTTAGCGAGACCTTTAGGTTATTTTTGATGCTCTACATGATGGGGCAAGTGCAATTTTCGCGGCTGATAGTAAACGTAATAGTGGGCGGACCTGCACGGAAGGACCCTATAACTTTTTAACGAACTATAGCTTTATAACATATAAGCAAGATTAATCCGAGTTGCTTCAAAATAAAAGTGACTTGCTCGCATAACTTTTCTCAAATTGTATTTTTCACTGAGAATTACTTAGTTTAGGCATCTAAGAAAATTGTTATGACGTGGTTACTCAGAGTTGTCCTGAGCTGCAAACGTCCCATTTTGTAGAGACATGTTTGCTCTACGTATTTCTTGGCAAAAACAGTTTACCCTTAACTTTGATACACATATAAGCTGTCTAGAATACCATAAATGTGCGTGATAACCGGCTTTCAGTTATATAGCTGTTTCTATCTGTTCAGAAATTCATTAAGACTAATCTTTTTTATCCTTCATTTTTCTCTTGGATACAAATAGACAGACCAAACCTTTCTCTGCGAAATTTTACGCTTTTCGAAAGTAAAGATATGACTCTTCTAAAAACATTTATTTTTGTTCGTGGTAAAATACAAATTATGCTACCACATTTAATATATCTGCTCCTTTTTTGACAGACTGATTATGAAGATTATTCAGATGTTTGCTAGTTTTCTAGTGGAATGATGAAAGCTGTTGAGAAATCTTATTTGCGTCTAAATATTAGTTTCATTATTCCTTGCATCTTATCAAATCAAGAACGACCTGACAGAAAAATCGGGACTTTGACTGAAGATTACGCCAGTATAGGTCGAGATTCTTATCTAAGAGTGGTGTGTGGTCTTTTCACTTTTTAAATGCAATCTATTAATACTCGTTCATTCAAGCAATTATCTGCATCTATCATATTAATTATGTATTTTTACCTATATGTACATTTAATTTTCATTTTTGCAGCGAATATTTCGAAACTCAATAGACGTACATCGATTGAAAATTCACTTTTATGCCGTTCTACACATATTTCATATCATCGGATCGAAAAATTTTAACAGCTTGTTCGGTCAAACCGATTGCACATTCTTCTTCTCTGTAGTCGATTATCTGGTACGCGATAACTTTTGGATCGGGGTACTTCAGAAAAAAGTTTTCTCATGGTCTTGTTCAAAAATTTTTCAAAAAGTTACAGTATCAGACCAAAGATAAAACGATACCGAAAATTTTTTCTGAAGTACACCGATCCAAAATTTTCGCATACCAGATAACCGACCATGGAGACGACGAATCTGCAGTCGTTTTTGATCGAACACGCTTTTAAAATTTTTCGATCCGGTGATATGTAAACCTTCAAATGCATTGTTTCTCAAAATGATTTAGTTATTCAGCTGGTTAATACACAATGCCCTTTTCTACTTGAAAGATTCCTTTTTATAGATAACTATCGTAAATCAGATTAGAAGCAGAAAGCCAAACATTGTTGGAGAAAATGATAGAAAATGACAGTGTATTTTCTCGAAAGGCTTCTAAATTATCTGGACGATAACATCCACGAATATTTTCGACTACGTGGTTAGCAAGAGCATGACGTCCTACAAGCACTATATTCTAAACTTTTATGAGATCAGTTTTAACAAGTGTTCGCATCGAAAGCAGAAACTACCCACTGTTAGGTGTTTCCAAGAGATTTGGCTCT